CGACCGGGCGAGCCAACACAACCGTTGGGACGACACCATCAAGCTCGCCAACGTCGTATTTTTCCTCAAAGGGACTGCACTCCAATGGTACGACAATCACGAGGAAGAAATTAATTCATGGGATGCGTTCAAAACCGCCTTCGCAGACGTCTTCGGTACACCTGAACGCAGAAGACAACAAGCGCGGGACAAACTCTCCAGGAGGTACCAAGCCCCCTCCGAAACATCGACGTCCTACATCGAGGACGTCCTTCGCCTCTGCGGACGTGTCAACGCAGCTATGCCGGAGGACGAAAAAATCAAGCACCTCTTCAAAGGATTATCCCAAGAGCTGTTTTCCATCGTCGCACCCAGGTCACCTCAGACCGTGCAGCAGCTCATTGCAGAATGCAAGCATTATGAAGACCTTCAAAGCGGTCGGATCTCCAACACCGGATTTGAACGGCTCCCTGAAGTTTCAACTACAACTGCCGACACTAACCTCCCCAATCTCATCAGGCGAATAATTCGAGACGAACTACGCGACTTCTTGGGATCCCTGCGCCTCTCAGCCAGTTCTTCAATCTCGCAACCCGAGGCGCCTAAGATTGAACAGGTAATCAAAGACGAACTTCGTGCTGCCCTTCGTCCTATTTCTTCGTCGTCTCCCACATGCATGGCACCATCGACTTCCTCACAACCCATCTGCTCTTTACAGCACTCACGACCACACATTTGCGCTCTGCAAACTTCTCACAACGTCTCAATTCCATCCACACGCTACCTATCACCCCGGCGGACAGAGGAATGGCGCACTCAAGATCAACGTCCGATATGCTTCTACTGTCACGCCCCAGGTCATATCATCCGCTACTGCCGACGCCGCATGAATGCTGAAGCCTACAGTCGCACCCCACAGAATCAAACTCGACATTCTGAAGACCACGACACGCGCCGAAATTTCGACAACCACGGCAGTTCTAGTGACCGCCGCAATTTTGACGACCATCGCAACACACGTCCCTTTCCAGCTGCTGAATTCCGACGTGGTCGATTACCCTCCCTCTATCTTCGACGAAACCGCTCCGTCTCGCCGTTCACTGACGCTACTACCGGACTTCCGTCGTCAAACTAAGCAGCGCAGCCTGTCTTAACAATGGAGGTCAGGCTGCACTACCGTCTCCGGTCCTAAATCCTCCTTACCTTGGCCCTACAACTATTACCGTCTACATTGGAGAAGAAAAACTTTTAGCATTAGTTGACACAGGTGCTGCAAAATCCTGCGTTTCTAATCAGCTTCGCCGCCGTTTACAAAAACTGCTCACCCCTCCACCCGCTGGACATTTTCTACGGATGGGAAACAGTGAACTTGTGCAACCTCTTGGCCACTGCACCATCCCTATTTCTATCGGAGGCACTTCCTATATCATTTTGTTTACTGTACTTGCTAATTGTGTCGTCGACGTCATTTTGGGATGGGATTTTTTGTCGGCCACCGAGGCATTCATTGACTGCGCCAGCCGCGAACTTCATTTGAGCACTCGGCAGACTAGTTACGACGTGTACGAAAATTCACCCATTTCGCTTCACACCGACGACGATTACCTCTTGCCCCCCCTTTCCGCTATTGCTATCACACTCCTGCCGGACCGTCCATTCGAAAGCACCACTGGCTTCATTGAACCCATCGCCAACTTTGTCGCAAAAAAGCCAGTTATTCTTCCCTACTGCATCGCCTCGACAACTCAAGGACAAGTTTCTCTTTTCGTCACCAACACATCTACTCAGTCGCAAATTGTTTCCCGTGGTGCACGTTTGGCCACTCTAACATCTCATTCTTATAACACGCTTGCAACGCTCTCCGAACTTACATCTACGAGGCTACCGTCAGCTGCCCAAAGCACCACCGCACAAGTTGCTAAAATGGTAGACTCTAGCTTGCCTCCTCACCAGAAGGAAGCCCTAACAAAGCTTCTTGTTTCGTATGAACAACTCTTCGATTATAATAGCCACTCTCTAGCTCAAACTTCGGTAGTCTCTCATCACATTGACACCGGCACAGCATCTCCCATTCGAAGCCGCCCTTATAGAATTTCACCCACCGAACGTAAGGCCGTCGACGATCACGTCAGAGATATGCTCCAAAGAAACGTAATCGAGCCTTCATCCAGCCCATGGTCGGCCCCTGTTGTTCTCACCAAGAAAAAAGACGGATCATTGCGATTTTGTGTAGATTACCGTCGACTTAACAAGATCACCACTAAAGACGTCTATCCCTTACCTAGAATCGACGACACCCTCGACACTCTTCAGGGATCATCATTTTTTTCTTCCATGGACCTTAGAAGCGGTTATTGGCAGATACCCATGGCCGACGCCGACAAGCCCAAAACTGCTTTCGTTACACCCTCCGGCCTATACCCGTTTAATGTCATGCCGTTTGGCCTGTCCAATGCGCCTGCCACATTCGAACGCATGATGGACACTGTGCTACGGGGTCTCACGTGGAGAACCTGCCTTTGTTACCTCGACGACGTAATTGTTTTCTCCGCCTCATTCAACGAGCACTTGCACAGGCTAGAAGAAGTGCTGAATTGCTTTCTCACCGCCAATTTGCAACTAAACACAAAACAATGTATCTTTGCAGCTCGCCAAATTCAGGTCCTCGGTGATATCATTAGTGCAGATGGCATTCGCCCTGACCCATCTAAATTACAAGCTGTTTCCGAATTTCCATCTCCGAAAAATTTAAAAGACCTTCGGCCCTTTCTCGGCCTTTGCACGTACTTCAGAAAATTTATACCCGGATTCTCCCACATCGCTGAACCTCTCAACACGCTACTCCGTAACAACACCGCTTTCCAATGGAATCGCCTTCAAAGCAATGCTTTTCAAGCCCTGAAAACCGCCCTAACCACTGTCCCAGTGCTCGGTCACTTCGTTCCTGGCTCTGACACTGAGATACGTACAGACGCCAATGGCCATGTCCTCGGCGCCGTACTGGCCCAGAACATTTCCGGTGTCCAGAGAGTAATCGCCTACGCCAGCCGCACATTAACGAAAAGTGAACGTAACTATACCATAACTGAACGCGAGTGCTCGGCCGTTGTGTGGGCGATATCGAAGTTCCGTCCCTACCTATACGGCACACACTTCACTATTGTAACCGATCATCACGCCCTATGCTAGTTATCTACCCTAAAAGACCCTTCAGGAAGACTCGGACGTTGGTCCCTGAAACTCCAAGACTATCACTACACGATTCATTACAAATCTGGAAAACGACACCTTGATGCTGACAGCCTTTCCAGATGCCCCCTTCCTCATGGGTCGCAATGTTCGAACTCCTCCGCCCACGAAGACACAACTGCTGTCCTGAGCTCCGTCAACATTGCAGAAGAGCAACGGTTCGATTCTTTATTGCACCCCATTATTCAATGCCTTGAAGGTGCTTTGCCGCATCCTTCTGTGCAAATCGAGCGCCGTGCCCGTCTTTTTCAACTCAGAGATGGCATTCTTTATAGGCAAAACTACGACGCACAACAAGGACGGCCATGGCTTTTAGTGATTCCCCGCCGACTACAAAAGGATCTTATCCAAGCAAACCATGACGACCCTACAGCTGGCCACCTTGGATTTTCTAAAACTTACTTTCGCATCCGAGGCAGTTATTTTTGGACAGGCATGACCCGCAGCATCAGCAAGTACGTTCGAGCGTGCCACCACTGCCAGACCAAGAAACGTCCTACCACAAAGCCTCCAGGTTGCCTACAACCCCTTCCCCAACCGCACCGCCCATTTGAACGTATCGGAATTGACTTCCTTGGCCCCTTTCCCCAATCCACTCGCAACAACAAGTGAATACTTGTTGCGATTGACCATTTAACACGCTACGTCGAGACGGCCTCCGTTCCCGCCGCTACCGCCCACGATGTCGCAAACTTTTTTATCCACTCGATACTGCTGCGCCATGGAGCTCCACAATACATAATCACCGATCGAGGCACTCCCTTTCTATCCAACGTGCTCGAAGATGTCCTCCGCCTTTCTTCGACTGTTCACAGCGTTACAACAGCCTACCACCCACAAACAAATGGATTAACAGAGCGCTTCAACCATACTATCGCTGACATGGTTTCAATGTACGTAGCCGATCATCACGACAATTGGGACATCATCCTCCCCTACGTAACCTATGCATACAATACTGCACGACAATCTACCACGGGACACTCTCCCTACTACTTGCTCTATGCATCCGAACCCCTAACACCCCTTGACACGATATTACCCTACCAACCTGACAACTTCATGCAACCCTACGCAGAGGAGATTGTCTCCAGAGCAGAAGACGCCCGTCAGCTTGCCCGCATACGCACCCTTAAATCCTAGCAACAACAAAAACTGCGCTATGACGACCGCCACCTCCCCACTGCCTATAACATAGGTGACGAAGTCCTCTTGTGGTCTCCCCGGCGAGCACCGGGCAAGTGCGAGAAGTTTCTCAAACAGTTTGTTGGCCCTTTTCGTGTCATGCGACAGCTTTCCCCAACCAATTATGAAGTCGAGCCCGTTACGCCGCACTGCGACCTTCGCTCCAAGTCCTCCGACGTGGTACACATCAGCCGCATGAAGCCCTATTACCGCCAAGACTCATAATCTAAACGCGCCGGATGACCGGCGCTTACAACACCGGGGGGATATTGTAAGGAAGAAGAAGTGGCACGGACACACAGGCAGGGATTTGACCAAGCGCGCGCTCGGCACGGGCGCTTCTTGAATGCTGTACCGCCATTCATACTGGTCGCATTTTCCTCCTATCTTCTATTAAATCTCTTTTATCAACGTCTCAACAATATTTAGGTCACTAACAAGGGTTTTTATGCTACTTTATGCAATCAAGGGATTGTAATATTCCATTCAGCGTGAGGACTGTGAAATTAGTATTGATTCGAACATAATATTTGGGCAATCTTAAAGCTTATTGCGGAACGTTTGTTTTTTTATTAATATTTACTTACTCTTTTTCTTCCGATAGCCTTACCCTTGAACCGCACTCCTTTCCGTGAAATGTTTGCTGTGCGAAGTCTTCTTCGTCGCAGTTACGCTTAGGTATTGTTCCGTTGTACATAGGTCCAAGTCTGAAACCGTTCAAGAAAAACATTACGTATTCATCAGAATTGTAAATACCTGGAACCCACAAACTCCGGCAGAAATAAATGAAAACGTTTTCTTGGGCCATAGAAAACGGGCTTTTCGTATAAATTATCCTGGGGTAACGTGTTTGATTTCTTGGCTTGAACTCTCATGATCAATTTGTTTCTTTAATATAATAGTAGCTTTCTTTAGTGTAAGGCGTCTCGTAAAGGAAAAGCAGGATTATAAAATGACAACTGTAATTAGAAGGTAAGAAAACATATGTTTTTGATCCGAGAAATCGTTAAAAGCTGATAATAAACAAGTGGACTGCGTCCTCAGTGCGCATTTTAGTTTAGTTCAGTTCAAAAAAGTATGTTTTGTTGTTAAAGGGGGAATATCCGTAGCCGTTGAAGATAGTCATTGGCGATCGGAGGAAGGGAAAAACAGGAGAAAAAGTTAAACATGCCCTCCTGAGATCGAGGGCATGTTTAACGAGAAATCGTTAAAAGCCAATAAAAAAAAATGAGCGCATTTCCACGTGGTGAATGATGTTGATTGGGGCGAAGCTCTGGTGGTGCTAATGATACTGATTTTATTATTCATAGGTAGTGCTGATGGTGCTGATTTCTTTTTCTTGCTCATAGGTAGTGCGGAGTTCCGGGTTGCGTTTCGAGTTCATTATTACTGCTTTATGGTCGGTGAAATGCAGAGCCAGAGGTTCTTCTAGCGGATCAGCGTGGATCCGCTAGAAGCCGTGGGAACGCATCTCCACCCCTTAAGTCAAAGGTCCATGTCAGAAAGAGAATGTGTGGTATGGAACGTGGTTATATACGCATGGAGAGCATTTGACCGCAGCGCCCTCTCGTCTATAAACGTTGAGCCAATGCATGCAAAGTTTAACGCGATTATATACGCATTTGACCGCAGCGCCCTCTCCTGTATAGACGTTGAGCGGCTACATGCAACGTTTCATCCATGACATCCCCAGCTCTTGAGTTACTACCACATTTCAGAGGCCCCTACTCGTTCGGCAGTCGTGGCCGAGTGGTTAAGGCGATGGACTAGAAATCCATTGGGGTCTCCCCGCACAGGTTCGAATCCTGTCGACTGCGCAAACATTTTTCTTTTTTCTTTTTGTGTGAGCACGGACGGACGGACAAGGCTAGACCCCAAGGAGCTTCGCCCCTAAAAATCTAAGATTGCTTTCCGGTACTCGCGAGAGCCGGATGTGAGGGTCAACATGGCGCAGTCAATCAAGAAGCATGATCTTACATGCAGAAAAAAACGACTTCAGTGCTGAGGTTAGCGCTTGTTGAGAACTCGGATTATTCCAGAGCATCGATTTCCTAGCACATTCCCCGAACGTACTGTGTTCACCAAGGTTTGAAAGTATTTTACATTCACCTCCGTATAATGTAGTCTTTTTTTTTTTTTTTTTTACTTATAGCCTGTGAAAACTGGTAACACCGGTGAGTTCATTCGTCTGCCAGAGATATTTCCGACGGAAAGTACAGTATCAATATTGAAACTAAAGCAAGTGTGCAGGCGAGCTGGTTAAATAATGGGATGGTAACACAAAAACTGGGAAAAAACGGTACTGACAAAACAAAGCTCCAAGTTATGTTTTGTCCGTCCCGCTCCTGGGTTACCAGTGTGAATATAAAGTTCCAACTTCTTTTACCTGCCGACAGTGAGATTGCTCATGCTTATTTTGTAAGTTGTTTCAAAAGCTATTGCAAACTAAACCGAAGCGCAATTTCCAACATCAAATGAAGATAAACTACATAAAACTGACCGCAGGTTAACCTTAACCTAGAACTGAAGGAGTCAATCATCGCAATTTACGTAGGGAGTTCCATAAAAGAAAAGACTCGAAAAAATATAAAAACACAAAATTGTGCATATTATGAGGCGTTTAGAATGACATGAGCATATGCGAAGTGTCGCATTGTCAATACAAGGGAGCGATCGCTGTTCCTTTTAAAAAAAATATTTTTTAAGACTATTATTGTGGTGTAACGCGCTCAATCTGGAGCCCGCTTGAGGTATAAACGTTAGTGCTTGTGATCGCCTTTTACGAGTAAAATGTGAAAGAACGCAAACGAGCTCACAGTTTCTCGCAGTATATTGTAATGCAGCAGTGTTCTATGGCGCGCTTTGATTTTCGATTAAAAGTTTTTACACCTCTTCATTCGCTGACCTTCCTCTCTACAACATGCCTCCTCCTCCCTACATTGCCTGTACGAATCAGTGATAGACTCCCTCACAAAACAGCACACAATATCACAGTACAGTTAAAATGAGCACGTGACAAAACACCACGACTTCAAAATAACACACGGGCAAACCAGCACGCGTCAAACTGGCAATTGGTGGTCGTCGTCGTGAATAAGGGCCACTTATTTTTGGGTTAGCTTGGGGCGGTTTATTCAAACGGCTTCGCGGCAATTGTTAATGCAAAACTAAACGTCTTAGGTCTACTTGTAATTACCTGATAAGAGGCAGGATTGCTGCAGGTAACTCTTAACCTCAACAACGTGCAGAGAAACATGACTGAATGTGTCCAGGCTATGAGAGAAGTAGATTATGTGTTGGTTCTGTTCCCGGGGCCTTAGAGGTCAAATGTCTAGCATCGTTGATTAAAATTTATTTGTGCAGCTTGTAAGATTCAGAACAGGCTCGTCTACATTAAAAGTAAAGCAATCTCCAAGGAGGTGTAGCGTACAGCTGCACAGAAGTTCAGTAGCTGGTAACGATATCGAGCTCTACAATTTGTTATATTATAAACGCATCATCGATATAGTGCTCAACTTTATCGTGTCTCCGTGGGTCATCAGTGCAGCTCGAACAGAAAGATGAAAGGGTCAATCGAGGTCGTTAGCCATAGGACGGCAACCTGTTTAGCGAATATGTTTTTTTTCGTGTTCGAGATAGTTGACTGCCTCGGTCTGTCGAAAAATGTCAAGACTACGCCAAACCGAGAAATCAATTTTCCATAAGAGCTGAACTGATGTATCTACTCCGCAGTACCTGCTTCAGACAAACGTGTGTGTCTGTCAATTCAGGTGAGGAAATAGCGATTTTCATCAGATGGACGAAGGAGACCAAAAATATCAATAGAAATATGATCGAAACGTTGTCTGGTGTCCAGAATTGACGCAAATGGTGCAAAAGTATAACGCTGTATCTTGAATTTATACTAGCACAGACTGCTCCTAACCCATTATCGTTCATCTTTTTTGACGCCCGCTGCTGCGTGGCTCGGAGTGGGAGAAGCAGCATAGATCAGAAGATCGGAGACTTTCCTGCGAAAGTCAGTGCGCACTAATGGTCGTATAGATACGCTGCATACAACTTTCGTGGTGCTGCCTGGAAAAATACACGCCTAAAGAAATGTCGGCCTGGCGATTATATGTATGTATTAGAGTGGTTATATTACAGTGGTTTTGTTGCAAGGCACTTACAACACTTGAACTACGGCTTTTGAAGAAAAAAAAAAAGAAAAAGAGCTTTCAGTCGTTCCACTTTGGTGAAGAAGAAAGACCAGCGAAGCCGTACTATGGTGGGAATGAACGAAGTAATGGCCGGCCGCAAGTCGGAAAGCCAGAGTGGAAAGGCTCGATAGTGCCGCCATCGTTCATAGGTAGCGGTAGCTGTCCAGAGTTCTGTGTCATCATTTGTTTGCTGACGGACACATCCCTGGAAAATTAGCCCTTAACAGCTCCGCTGTAAAAACTGCTGAGAAGAAATATATACGTTTCGTGACAATACGTCGCCGAAGATCGATGTATATATCACGTGAATGTGTTGGGAGTGGTAGCCGTCTTCTTCTATTGGGCCGCCTCCTGTTCCCTGCAGCTTCATACGATTTGCACGTTTTCACCACCAAAGCGCCAGGGTCTGATAGTCTGGCTTGTCCATCAAATTGCCCGAAGAAGGGCAGCTCGGCTCTCTGGGCGACTCTTCTGAACCTTCGACGAAGCTTCGGGACTTGCAGTAATTTTCGCAATGATAAGAAGACCATGCGACTTCATCCTGTATATATCATAACATAAGCATCATCACTAGACGTGACACCTTGGGCCTCCATGGCTCGGGCAGTTGCCTTACTGGAGTGCTGCGGCTCTTCTGAATCAGTACAAATTCTTATTAGTTACATTGATATTCGCTATCCCCAGAACTTCTGTGAGCTCTTCAGAATACATATTTAGTTTTTGTTTTTTTTTGTTTTTTTTTAATGTCTTCTAAGCCTTAAGCTTATGGAATTCGTTGCAGCGCTTACTTATGATTTGTTACTGCGGAGTATGACGTATAATTACGACGCTAAAGCAACACTTTTAATACTCACACGTTTGCAACTTGCTCAGCGGCGGCGAGCACTCCACTGAAATTCCTCCCATTATCTTGAACAATGGCCCCAGCCATTAAGCACATTGAACCATATTGTGACAGCCCTAATATCACAGAGTGAAACATAAGGTAAAATTAATTATTACCAGTTGACGTTGCCCTACGTTCTTTGTTACGAAGAGGAAATAGTACAGATAATCATTATCACAAATGCAACATCAACGGTGAGAGAACCAAAACGTTCGAAAGCAGTCAGAATCGAATAAACGTGAAAGCATATTTTGATTCAATACTCCAGAAATGACGTAAAAAATCAGAACTGTTAGAAATATCCTTAATGCTGCAGTGACACGCATCGTACACTGCACCACACAGTAAACGCAAATATATCAAAATTCTTGCATTTTGATCAGACTTGTGCCTCGATTAAGAACTTTCTACGAATCTAAGTATTTTGACTGTAGCCTAATAATTATAAATAAGAAGGCAAATCTCGTGAGTGCTTCCTCCTGTTAACTCTAAATTTAGACCTCCATGCGTCAGCCCGTTGTCACAGCATGTGATTGGCCAGTTTATCAATATCGCGCAAGCTGGTATAACTCCGCAGCTTCCGCAGTTAGTACATTGTCACAATATCAGAGATCGATTTACGCCTACTAGTGATTTCCGCACCTTTGCCTAGACCCTGCAGTGATGGACATGAATTTATCTTATTATTTACACCAAGAAAATAAAAAAGTTTATTTTTAATTAAAAAAACAGTTTCTTTTTGAAACTTGACAAATTAGAGCGTGCTGGTAAAGTTCGGGAACTAAAAATAAACAGCATGAACGTCTTTCCGCCGTTCATGTTCCATTATTTTATCCTCGTAACATTTTTAAAGGGTGGCAACTGCATGGTTACTGTATTTACTGTTATTTTCGGGCTCAATGGCACTTGAAGGGTATGCCCTCTCGATTAGTTAGTTAATTAATATAACCCGTTTATTGACTTTCTAATTAATGTATTTAGTACACATGTTGCAATAATTGTTTCAGCTATATTCAATATATTAATCTGGAGCAAGTGATACAGTTTGGATCAATTGAAACAATACAACTATTTCCCAATTGTTTTCTGCTTTATTTTCCCCAGCTGGCTGGATGGGGAGAGGAGTCCTTTAAGCACTGCTCACAATGGTCTGTAAACTTAAGACGTACCCGTGGGGGGCACGAAGTTATTATCTTGGTGACAAGCCTCGGGGTCAGCACCGGTGACATGCTGCCGAGGTAGAAACAACCTGCTCATCACGAGTAGACTACTTTTTTGACGTGTGCAGGGCTTTCAGCAGTGCTTCTGCATTCTTGTACCGATGTAGGTGGCGATACAGGTAAGCGTATTAAATACATTGCCGCGTGCGTGACCGAGTTGGCAGAGCAAACGGCGCACAAACGGAGTTATATGGTTCAATTTCGAAAGACAATATTTTTATTTCACCATATGTTGTTTTCCTTGAAAGCTACTGTGCGTTCTCAACAGCAATTTTGTGGTCTGGTTGATAACCTTCATGTACATAGCGACGTTCGGCTGAAGATTAGCTTTGTAAGCGAGGCGCGCTCATATTAGTTCGGCGTTGTTGTTGACGGAGCAGACATCGCTGGCATGTAGCACGATTGTAGCAAGAGAAAATAAGGTGATAAAAGAAAAAGACAGACAGAGAGTAGGCATTGTTATGTCTTCTACTGCTACAACCGCTTCCTACACACCCAGGTAAAAAATTCTGCTTGTAAAACTATCGGCAAAGGTTTGCAATAGATTAGGGCTGTTAGAAAATAAGGTGAAGGTCTCCTTTAATGCGAAAGCCTTATATGCCCCATTACGCTGAAATCCGGAGTCATCGGCGGCGTGACCAAGCGATGATGCCGAACAGGACCAAAGACGCAAAGAATGAAAACATGTCAAAAATGCTTGGATCGGCGTGAAATTTCTCAGGAAGGTTCCTGTAAACAAAACAAATGAATTGCTTTGAAAATAAAATTTGGTAAATTTCTATCTGGTTGGGAATCGAAGCCGGGCCTCAGGGGTGCGAGACGAGCAAGCTTCTCCGACGTTACGGCGGCTTCACGGTTCTGAATGATTAAAGGTGTGCCTAATTATGCTTTTGCATTTCCGCACGTAAGCAGTCTTAAGCGTGTCTGCCGAATTTTCTCTTTTTTTCATAATTGAATAGGGCGGCTATGCTAAATTGGCGCGTCCTCTTTGTAGTTGTTATAGTGTTTCCCAGTAGCTGACGAAAAAGAAAGCCGAATATTTTTCCACGCTGTTTCCCACGCTCTTATCAGTTTCGGTTTGGACTTAGGTTGGGTCGGCCGTGCGCCCTTTGCTGACAAAAAATAAGCCGAATATGTAGTAATTTTTTATAAGCAGCTAACAAAAACCTGGATACCCCCCCCCCCCCCCCCCCCCTTGCGGCGTGCCGGAGAGCTTGAAGAAAAGATCTGTAGTACACATAGTTCCCAAAATATTCTCACTGGTAGCTGTACTCTAGTTTCTTTTAATATTATTAAAAGTGTTTATTAAGCATACATTATTACGTCGCAAGAAAATCTTGAAGAAGAAAAGTTACGTGCTTGAACATTTTTGGGTCACAAAAGTGATTAATTGAAAATGTACCATTAAATTTTGAATTTAACCCCATTTTTGCGGAGGGAGAGAGAGATAAGTGATATTGAATTCATATGCTTGTGCAGAGATCCTGGATATGTCAAGTTCAACTTTCCCGGACGGCTAAGAAAGTTAATTTCACATAAAATAAACCTATTTGTAAAGTGGTGAAATTATAAATACAAGTTCAATTACGAAAGAAAACAAGGCAACTTTTCTTGTTAACAAAGGTTGCTTTCTTGCAAAGTCTTTCGGCAACTACTAATTTTGTTTATGGAAGTATTGTGGCGTTACTGCTGCATGTACGTGAATTAAGGGTTCATAGTATTAACCGCAGCTGTCCACATGTGCAAAGACAATTGGAAAATCAGGAATCAAGCATTTGCTCTATTCCTTACAAACCACGCCACCTTGCACTGTCGCAGTGCGTGGTAAGTGTTTTTAACACTAGCTGTTATTCAACATGCTCTGAGGGCCTGTGAGCAGGTCAAACATTATTTTGGTCACTTTTTGCTTTGGTTTTATGAACGGCTTTCCTTACTGTAGCGGTCTGGCTGTGCAGGTCTCGTCACTACCCATGCTCATATAAAATTCAAACAGCCGCGGCTTGCGTACAGCCCCTGCTAGCTCGGGCTTTGCAGGAACACTTGCCAGAGTCAGACGAGCATATGCGACTGCCCAGCTGTGCATCAACATATAATGACTTCCTCGTCTTTTTCCGCATTGCTCTGATTGCAAAGAGCGAGCGAAACCACACATGAAACCGGTATTGCTTTTGAGGCTGGTGCCACGGTCGACATTGTCGTACATTGGCGAGCCGCACTTTGCATTCAGTATATTCTTCTTGGGTTATTTCCTCCATACCCAGGAAATCGCATCGCAAACAGGCAACTTTTCTCTGCAGAGGTTCGCCTCCCTAAGAAATAAGCGAGCTTTCAGCATGGAGAAAGCCGGAACAAAATAGCCACGTGTTGCTAGCTACTACAACTGAATTTACGTCAGAACGAGCAATTTCGAGCCACGGCACGGCATCACGAGTATCTCCCCGGCGCGTTTCCTGTGGCACACAGAGTGGGCATAAAAAGTGTGCATCAGAGCAGCCGTAGCGCGCTGCTTTGAATACTTAGCAGAATTGATCTTTGTCACCGAGTCAGTCTTACGCTAGCTCTCGAGCCTGCTGTTACCTCGACAGTGGCGACCGTGACACCACCTATTCTATTTTTGTTGTGTCATATGTTTGCCACATTCATATTTTATTTTTCCCGAGTTAAACCTGCCTTGTTACTAGTCATTAGTAGCAATCATTTTAAAAAAAGTTAACGTGGTAACACGAAACATGACCCAAAATTAGTTACGCATATCAGTAAGTTATCATGATTCCTTACCTCACTCTTATTCCTGCAAAGCAGGATAAGTACACAGTAAATACATTAAAAAAACAGAAATCCCAATTTATATAGCAAATATGTTCGAAGAAAACACTATTTGTTTACCTAGTATTGTAACAACTTGCTAGGTTATTTAAAATATCAGTCTTGAGGAAACCTATGTAGTATAAGCAGGAACCTATGAAAGATGTCAATGTTACAAAAAACGTCAAGGCATGTCTAACAAAAAAATTAATACTTTCTTACCACCAACGGTTTTGGGGAGCTTCTTTTCGGAAGCGGCACGTGCAAGAAGCGTACTATCTTCATCGCTGTTGTCATAATCCTCATGACTCTCACTGCTATCGGGAATCGATATATCAGCGTTCACGCTAGGTTTTGTTTCTTCCTCGGTGATGTTTAATCTAAGAAAAATTATGAATTAATAAAGGCGCCTCCGATTTACTCATAATCCAGTGTAATGTTTCGTGTACCCAGTTAGGACGAGAACCAGGTTGTTCCCGGAGTTATTCTGTAGTTCATCAATTTCTAGCGAGAGCTCCATAAAATATTTCACTGCATCTCCTCCTTTTACGACGATTTCAGATTTTGTTTCCAAGTTTCCAATTATATTTTTTTCTTCATCTGCCTGTATGACCAATCACGAAATCACAACGTTAATGAGATAAGTTTTGCAAATAACGTGTTCGGCAATGCAAATCTGCTGTTAGAAATACAACTTACGTTAAGGTTACGTGATCCAAGATAAACAATTTCTATTGCGGGAGATGTCATACCTTGAAAATAGAGTCTGACCTGAAAAGAACGAAACATGTCATTAGGATTAGGAAATAACCCCATACGGTAATTAGACTTGCTCAGTTCAGATTTTATTTTTAAGTATGAGGAATTGCTAGGGTTCACTTTAATTGGCTTCTATTCGAATGCTCTGCGCATATCATGAAATTTGGGTCCGCGATACCCGTTGAGCAGGTGTATAGCCAGCCTTTGCATTGTCATAGAAATAATATTTTCACAAAACAAAATACTAGCAGACTTCCGCCGCAGCGCATGGAATTTCACACAGCTGAAATCCACCATCATTACTTTTTTAATTTGTCATCTGCTAGAATAATTCCATCGATAAAATTATTGGCTCTGCAAGTGCTCTGTAAAAGAAGTAGTAGCACAAGTAAATCACTCGCCCTGAAATCACAGTACTTCCAGTCTCAAAGTACCGATAAAATTACTTCCAAGAATTTATACCGTCTAGTTCAGTGCCACATACACCTATTTTTGCTGCAGACCAAGTACAGAGCGCGACACTGTTAGCGCGAACGAGCGATCAGCGGTTTTTCCAGTTTTTCTCTTTGAAACCAAGGGATGTCATCCAACTTATTATTGCTACGGAAAGAGCTCATTTAGTTCTATAATGTAAGCGAAAACATTTCGTGCTCGCTAATACTATTTAAAAGTAAAAAGCAAAAATTCGCCGATGACGTGTCCGCGCTAACAGTGTCGCGATGTGAACATGTTCTTGATTTATATTAAATAACTGGATAATCACAGTATGTAATGAAAAGGGTAAATCACGGAAGAGAGGAAATACAAAAAAAACCTAGGAGGGTACTAAGGTATACGACTTCACGCTGCAGAAAAATGCGTAGTCATATCTGTAATGCCTTCATCCACAACGACTTTGAGTGAGCCAATGATTATGAGTGAGCCAATGATTATGAGTGAGCCAATGATTATAAATGAGCCAATGATTATGAGGATTGAAATACCCTGATTTTTGGGACATTGCATTTTCGCGTATGTATGACACAAAGCGTTGCAGTAGTCACATAGTGGATGGTTGCCCGGCTGCGCGACGGGGAGCAACTCGGCAACCATTAAAAGAGATCTCACTGGGCGCAAGTTTGGCCATCTAAAAGGCCCAAATTGCCTAACTAGGCTTTCGTTTGAGGACTTAGGGGCACGCCAAAAGTTAGCGTTTCTTCGGTTTGCGAAAATTAGGTCAATAAAAGTGCAGCGGGATACCAGGAGGCCAGGGGACAACTACCGAACAGCCAACAATGGAGCCTGACTGCGGCCAGGAGATTGATTCCGAAGGATGCTTGGAGACATCAAACTGCCATGCAGTGAATCCTAGTTCGGATCTTGTTTGGTGATTAAACACAAACGTGCCAAGATTCTTGCCAAAGGATATCAGGTTTCTAGGCTCATAAGTTCTCAAACAAAAAAAAAAACTTTTTCCCAAAAATATGTTTTATTTCAATACGTGCTCTTGATACGGCGCGTCGTCAATCCAAGGCACCTCCGAAATCTGCTTCCTCGTGTCCTTGCTTATGCGGAACGTTCACAGAGCTGTTTGCTTACATGCCAGATTTGCATACACCAGCTGGCACCCGTGCAGAATCTCTGGCTCAAAAGTGGGAGGAGTGCTATTGTTATATGTGATAAGAGAAGCAGCATTCGTAAGCGAAATGTTGTGACACATGATTACAGGTGTGTGGAGCTGTAGTAATACCAAGTTCTCCTACCTGGTACCGGGGTATGTTTGGCCGAGCGTGTTAAAGGCCGTTCTGCAAAATATTTTTCAACCAGGGTAAAGATCCTCACGGCCACCGCTTCCCATCTCCCCTTCTCCCACTTTTATCTTAATGGCTACGAGATCGCATTTCTTGTTGCATCTTAGGGCTGGAAGAGTCGAGATGATCTTCCTGCTTATCCAGTCTTTAGATGCCGCAACAAAAGGAGTCCCCTCGTTTTCAAGGTAAGAGTGGGAGATGGGAACGGTGGCGAGGAACACTTTTCTACCCTTGCTGAAAAATATTTTGCCGGACTACCTTTAACGCATCGCAGCTCGGAGGGCGTGGGGCGAAAGCTAGCGCTGCAGAGCCCAGCATCCCGGGCTCAATCATCTTACCTGCGCGTTTCGACTTGGGTGAGCATCTTACCAGCGTGCAGTTGTGCATTGCTATTACGTGATACACATTCAAGACCCCAGGGTTGCGTTGGAACTCCACTGACTAAATTTCTTATCTACAGCTCAGAGACAATCACCCATTGAGGCCGACTAACTTCCGACTGTCTAAACATACCTACAACATAGTTACTGCTTGGTACCATTCCCTTTAGTTGACATTCATTCAATCTGGTCTTCAATCAGATTAAATGATGATGATGTTGACGAAACCGCGTTGCTACAGAGCTTTTATCCCGCGCGCCTACTTGGCCTCAAACCACTCTGAGAGTCAATTACTGAAGAACAAGATGGATGTTTTAGCGAAGATATTTAAAAACTTCTACCAATATAATAGATATAAAAAATATACTTTTTAACTGGAACAAAAAGCCAGCCACAGCGTACATTAGGGACTGCAAAATACATGCGTATTAGCAAAGTACTTAACTAAAGTTTACTAAATAACGTTTAGTCAGTAAACAAACATCCAATTATAAGTACAAATTTACTGGGCGTCATGGAAAAACTCTAGAACAGTCACTTTTAGGGAGACTTAAAACACGCATGGATCGGGGAAGTACGCTAAAGTTACCACTCATGCAGCTGGCAAAAAGGATGAGAAAACTCGAAAAATAAGAATATCATCTGCGTTTTCGCAACGCCAAACTTGTGCCCGCTGCAGTTTAGCGCACTCACTCTTCACATGTGCTTTCATTATTCCTTACATTGACTGACTTACGGGGTATCGATGACGCTCAACAAGTTTCTATCTGTATAAAAACTTGTTTTGTCGGTAATTAGGAAGTTACTTAGTTACATAATTATTTGTCTATTTAATGTGTTCTTTGCAATCCCTGACGTTCGATGTGTCTTGCAATTTGTTCCCGAAATTCGTTCAATTTTTTTTTCCAATATTCTTTTTTGGTAGAAGTTATTTAAAAACTTCGCTGAATCATATAGTATGTATGCCATTTCCGTTTTACTATAAGTCCGAGCGCAACCAATTTTACAACCAGATGGAGGCAATTAAGCAGCGTCAAGGGTGTATCGTAACGGCGCTCATGAGAGAGTTTTCGGAAACCGTGTTTGCACATCCGATACATACGATGGGCCCTCCGGTACCAACTGCGCATATACGAGTCTTATGGGGTACGCGCAGTTCAAACCGGAGGGTCCATCGTATGTATCGCATGTGCGAAAACGGTTCCTTAAAACTTTCTACAGTCTTCATGCGTTTTTATCACCGAATCAACCAAGCACTCACTGCGAACGCACCCATATCCTGCGTTTGTTTCTGCGCGTGATTATTTAGCAGGTGATAGGAAACCCACGAATACAATTACGAGCGCTGACATTTTTTAACCCCTCTTTCATCGCGTTGAAGTTTTTCCCTAATAAATCACTACCAATTATGGTTCCTCTCCTTTTTGCTATATGTCTATACACCTTTCCAAAAAACACTCGACCCCAGGGGCAACAAACCGTTTTCGAGCCCAGTCACTGAGTTTGAGGCTAGACTCTCACCGGCGTCCCTCCTAACCCTAACCGAGTGGACTGCGATTTCAATAGGCGCTGCCTGCGTAGGCGCAGTTTCAAACGCTGCTGGCGGCTAAATTCTCGTCTTTTCCCGCTATATTTTGTGTTTCATGGTACATGTATTTTCCCGAGGACATTAAGAAAGCATTGTACCACATTTGAAAAAAAGTAAAAAAGTAAAAGAAAAAAGAAAATAAAAACTGTAAACTATTTTTGTTGGCTACGCGCGCGACAGAACGAATGCGACTGGAATGTACAGTTCTAGTTATTTGTTTTTTCTTACGATAAGTTTTGAGTGTGCCGCGGAATTCGCCGCATGTGAAACGACAAAGCGCTTTGCTGTCAAAAATAAATTGCAACAGAAGAGGGCAGAAAGGCATGCATTTCACGTTCACAAATAATGTGTTTACCGAAAATGTTAACATTCGAACAATATATCGTACGTACCACACGATGCAGCGTTATCCGAAAAGAATTTATTTGAGAAAGATCTCAAATAACACAGTCACAGTCGACGACAGTCACATCTTGACGATCGGACAGAATCCGAGGTGACTTCGTTGTGGGGAGAGCTTCTTTTTTTCACAACCGCACCAAGGCAAAGAAACCAACCCGACTGACCCGTTTCTCACCCCAACGCGTACTACGCAACCCGGACAACTATTTTTGGAGATGACTGAGGATTCTACGCGGATTATCTCTGGGAGGGGGGAGAACAATGTTCGCAAAATCGCGTCGAGGGTCGTTCAACGTCCTTCACCTCCTTCGTTTCCCGTGAATGCCCAGCAGAAAAGCTTGAATGGCAGGCACTTACCAGTCTTATTTCTCACAGTGGAAGATAACACCAAAAGGGTACGCAGCACGCATAAAAAAAATTAAGCGGAAAGTTTCAAGAGGGGCGAGAAAACGGCGAATGCAAAACCGCAAAAAAGTATGTAGATAACCGCGCTGAGCGGGTCTTCACAGTCCCAGAGAGTGGCAGAAAATTTCTAGCTGATAGAGGGCGCGAGAGTCGCGCCAGCCGCATCAGCATCAGCAACATGGCGGCGTCCTAGGAGCGTTTTTTGGAAAGGTGTATAGAGCTAGATTTGGCAAGGGTGCACTGAACATGGTATATCAGATGCTTGCGGGAATTCTCTCCCGGTTTACTTAGCGTAAATATAGACTCACGGTGATTTTTTTTAACCTGGACCTTCATTATTGTTTTTGTCGTCCATGATTACGAGCTTACGACGCACATCCGGACCAAAACGCTCGTCACTTGGCGAGACATTTCTATCGGATGCCTTTGGAACAATCGGCATTTTATTAGAATTCATGTATCCCGGTGAGCACTTAGGGAGTTCACATAATCAGCAGCTTGGTGCACATATGACATGTTAAAATGTGTTTGGTATGTTTCACAGTACTACACTTATACTTCTTAAATAAAAAAGATACATAATTTTACTCACGCCTCCTACAAATGCTTCTAAGTATTCCTTGAGTATATCACTCTTGTATGGTGTACAGGATAGAAAAGAAGCATCCATTACTATGTAGATTCCCACGTACCACGTCTCTGTTGTTGCTGCAACATTTAACACTGTTTCAGTAAAAGTCAATTACATAACGTTTTCATTTCTCTATATACATTCAAGTAAAACTTTTAAGACGTGTTTTTTTTTCCAAGAAGAAAGTACATAGTTTTCAAACACTGGTTTCTTGTCGTTCACCATAAAATTATTTGAATGTTGACTAAAGCTACTCGCGCTTATTTTCACATCAATGTTAGTCGTACTATACTAACGTTCAGTCATGCTATACTATATCAACATGTGATACGGTGATTTCATTTGACTCCAACTAACCTTGTGAGGCGTGGATTTTTGAAAATAAGATGTTATGTCTCAATTTCTGCAGTGAATAAAACTGGCCATTAAAAGCTAGAATCTAAAATTTATACAAAACAAATTAAAGTGTCACGTGACAAAACATTTAATAATGTTGATTTGATACTATTTTTTGCAAATTTGGTTCTGGTTTACCAACGATTGCTCTATTTGGTACTTGTTTACAAACTTTGCTACTAATAGTTACGTAACAGAGATTATTGCCAACAATTTGTAGAAGGCAACAGGTTATTTCCAGTCCTTACGCTATTTTACGAAACAAGAAGGCTATAATATTATATATTTTTCGTGTTTGGTAGCGTTTATAAAGAAATCTATATCCTCTAGTTAGAAGCACACAATTTTGAGTGTATTGAAGTTAATTTTTTTAAAGAATATATTCTTACTCTTTTTTATATTTTTGTCTCAATTTCCCATAAGGTTTGAAATTACAATACAAAAAGGTTGATTCTCCTGTTTAGTCGTTATTCTCGAGACAAGCAGCTAGAATGATGCCAGCATGCTAATTCAATCTATTCTAAGATATTTGAAATTATTTTTTTTTATTTAATTTTTTAAATCTGTTTTAAGTTACTTTTATTTCATTGATTGCATGTCATGTTACAAAAGCACTGGATATAATAATTGGTTGACCTTTTTTGTTGTATTCTCGGGACGACCAGTTCTATAAGTTGCATTTTGGCTTGGACACTCAGTCATCAGCTCGGCGATGCTTGCGCCCCCACAACGTTATTGGTGGGCTCATGAATTGCTGATGTCGCAAAAAAGAGTTTTACAGTGACGTCTTTTGTGCTATATATGTTGTTTTTTATTATACGACTAACTCTAAGACATCACTCAGGGTTAAAATCAAACACTTCCGTTTATTTGGGTCACCTCTAATGAACGACTGTAGCAGGCTATGCTTTATACTTCCGCTTTTAACTCTGGCAGGACTAAGCTCCTTTTTTTGGATATTTTTTAGGTTGCCTATGATAAATAAAAAGGATCGAATGGAGTAAGCACAAATGAATCACCGGTGCACCCAAATAGCACAACTGGCCTTGTTAGACGTGTTTTGCGAGCGTCAGTTTGACCATGGAGTTTAAATTTGCGTGAACAAGCTATGTACGTCCATGCATGATGGTCCGGTTTCTGAGATAAATAACATCACATTTAATATTTTCAGGAAAACCGATATAATAAATGTTAACGCTCTACTGTGTTGCATACGTCGAACTTGATTGATTCCCTAAATAATTTCCCGTTATATTTGGATAGCGAGAAACAATGTCCGGGAAATTAAGAGCAATATGTCACGTAACACATATCAGTGCGTATCTATAAATGAGCGCAATTTTCTACTATCTCGTTCGTGCAAGTGAAGAGTTCTGGTATGTTACAGATTGCTTTTAATTTTCTGAAGCTGTTTAAATGCATAATTGTAAAGTAGGTTTCCCGTTTTAAACATATCTTTCTTATGTATATTATTTATTTCCAATTTCGTAGTTAAAAACGTTACATGACTTTTTTTTTTACTTAATTTTTATATTTATTTCAATCGACACCTATACAGCCTTTACAGTGCCGTCTCTGAACCTCAGACTCCGGCATGGTAGATTCAACAGAGCCTTACATTCTAAGGCAAAAAAATAAAAAAATAAAAAATTAAAAAAGCACCGCAAAAAGCTACCAATAGTACAATACGTCCCTTTGAATTAGTTTGATATGCAACATCGGTCCTCAGGTTATCTCAATAACGTTTCTTGTGCCAGTTTCACAAACAAAAACTTTTAGCGAACACTATCATTCCTCCTTGATGTTGATTGCTAAAGTAGAATTTCCCTTGCGTTTTGTGTTGGCTGAGGGACTGAGGGACACCCTGTTCAAAGTACCAATAGTTTTCTTTTTACTATAATGTGTGTTTAAAAAATACAATAAAAACGCATTACCCTGCAAATGTAGGGACCAAAAAGGTGTGGTAGTGCAACTGAGCAAGGCCTCGGGAAACTAAACATAAGAAAAATTGCATAGCTAGATCATTATATCACTGTGCTCTCTTTTTTTTTTTTTTTTCTTGTCATAAAACACGGGGAGAATCTTGAACTGAGAGGCGCTCCCGTTTTTAACAGTCACTCAACAATTGGGGAGTGTATGTAGGGAAGGTAATCTTCAATGGGCAAGACAATATTTTTATCTCTGTCTACAAGGCTGTGTAAACCAGGCGCCTAGGAACGTTTCGCAGCACTCGTTTGAATCCATCTCACAAATAACAGAACTTTAAACTTTGTGATTCATCATAAGCAGCGCTAAGTGTCTAACTGCACTTTTAATATGATACCCTGCTTTTTTCTGATTATAGCTAAAGGCGTTTTCGTAGCAGCTGTGCATGCCCGCCGCCTATAGCGTATACGTTCCCGTTCTTGTTTCCCCTTATTCATATTATTTCACTTCAACATTATCATAGCAGGTAAGATTATTGTCATTGTAGATTATTCTGTGTGCTTGTCCACAGCCATGACCTTTGTGAAGGCCCGTCAATACCCGTTTCAGTGGCTCGATATCTCGGTAAGACAAAAGAAGGTCAGCAATGGTCGACTGTAATCTGGCGCGGGCCCAAAATGACTGCAGTCATGGACACCTTAAAAACAAAACAAAAAAAAAAACAATGTGGGGCACACTTTAAAAAAAGGCCGTGCGTCTACTCTTCTGCACGACCACTCGTAGCCAATTGCCGCAACTTACGGAGGCAGCTTCGCGATGGACGATGCCGAAAGATATATTTAGACCAAAAGAACACAGTCTGAGTTGTGACATTAAGCAATGCAAGCGTGAAGTTTTGCAATACTTAGTGTCAAACACAGACTGCGTTTTTTGGTCTAAACATATGCTTCGACATCGTCATTCGCTGAGCTGCCTCCGTAAGTTGCGGTGATTGGCTCTCCGAGTGTTGTGCGGAAGAGTAGAAGCACGGGCTGTTTTTAAAGCGATTCCCGATCATCTTGTTTTCGTTCCGCAGCCAATGCGGAGAGAAAATCGTCTGGTTCTTGTGCAGGTGTTGCGATCACTTTGGAACGACGCCGAGCTCTGATTGGCTGATCGAAAGAAAATAGCGGGTAGACGTCAAAGCATTTAACATTGAGATTTACGCACTTTTTTGTTCAGTCGGCCTATCAGAGCTCGACGTCGTTCTGACGTCACCACAACTCCTTCTCTAGAAGCAGACGACTTGATTTCCGTACAAAATTTCGGCATCAACCAATCAGAAGAGCGAAGAACCAATCACGAGACAGAAAGCATATTAATCATAGACCACGATCTGCGTTTTTTAAGCTGTCCGACCATAGCAATTACCGTCGCTAGCATTCCCATGCAAGACGGTCTTGGTTTCGTTTTCCCCGCCTTTAATCTTCCAATCCTGTCCTATTACTCGTATAATAAAGATGCCATAAAATTGTTTTACCGAATAATTTTATTCACGCATAGTATATTTACCTTGCCCAACACATCCCGCTTGTTCTGGAGCCGTTGCGCTTTCCCCCGCAGCTATAAAAAGACAGCAGATCAGTTTTCGTTAACATAAACATTTATGGTACCACAATGAAAGCAATATCACTGACACTTGGTTGTATTTAAAGAAAGCTCTAGAAATATTTAGTAAGTACATATATTTGTTTTGCATTTAGCACGTTAGTAGACTCAGTTCTAAAATCCTACATTTAATAAACATAAAAAATGTAAAGTTGGACTGAATATTCGGAAAAGGTGCACCTATTATATTTTGTAATCCCCAATTTTACGTTGTCCCGTTTTTATCCTTGATTGCCTTTTGACACCGAGTACACCAGATGAAGTCAAATTTAAGACACAGTGTGAGAACTTGCATAGCAACGGGGGGTGATGTGATTGATTTCCTTCAAAACTGCACCTAATAAGTTATTGGTTTTCAAAAAGGTTCTAAGAATGAAGTCAGGTCTGAAGTAGGCGAGTCCTTGCATGATCTGAATCAGGGATGGGCAGTATTTCAAATACAAGTATTTGAAACGCGCATTTCAAGTACTTCGTGTATTTTTCATTTGTATTTAATTACAAATTGGATAATGTATTTGATGTGTTTATTTAAAGACTAAAACGTGGGTATTTCAAATACAATTGTAATTAAATACAATTTTGGGGCAAAAATACATCCCTCAAATTTATGTGACGACTCAATTTGCTCATCCTAAGACGTGACCAGAGCAGGAAGAAAACTACGTTCTGCACCGAATGCAGTGTCTGTCAATCAAACACAAGCGTTTAGTGACTTTGTGATTACGGTTTTAGTCCAGGGCAAGAATATTGACGAAATCTGCGTTCACAGGCAGACAGGGATGGGCAAAATACATGCAAATATGTATCAAAATACAAATACAAAATACTTCGTCAAAAATGTATTTGATTACAAATATACTTACATTTCCAAAAAAGCATTTAAGTACAAGATACAAATACATGCCAAATGTATTTGGTCTCCTCCAAATACTTTTCCAAATACATCCCTCAAAACCTGCGTCAGCGACTTCAAGTCACCTGCAACTGTTTTCCGGGTATCTCATTTTCATTTTGCATCGCACACTCGGGAGTTAGTGTGCGAGGCTCTAGTAACGTAATAGAAATATAATCACAAAAAAATGTGATCAGCTTGGAAGTAATAGGTGAAAAAAGTACAGAGCTTCAAGCAGCTTTCTTTGTCGAATACATTTTGGCATAGACCAACAAAGAACCGAGACGACCAATACGCGCAGCACTAGCTGGAGAATTTTTTATTGTAACAACTCGCACCAGTTACGAGAATCTGGACGACCCGCGCATTTAGAATGTTCCAGGCAAAAATATGGATGGAAATCAGGCTGGAAAGCATCACAAGTTGTCACAGGCACTTATTTAGCCAGTCTGCCAGTGAACGTCGATATAGTCACCACTCTGGCCCTGGACAAGCACCGTAATCACAGTCACTAAATGCTTGTGCTTGATTGAGAGACACTGCCTTCGGTGCAGAACGCAGTTTTCTTCCTGCTCTGGACAGTGACAATAAATTTGAGGGATGTATTTTCGCCCACAAAATTGTATCTAATTACAATTGTATTTGAAATACCGACGTTTTAGTATTTAAATACACACGTAAAATGCATTACCCAATTTGTAATTAAATAAAAATGGAAAATACACAAAGAATTTAAAATACCTATTTCAAATACTTGTATTTGAAATACTGCCCATCCCTGCAGGCAGACTGGCTAAATGAGTGCCTGTTACAACTTGTGATGCTTTCCAGCCTGATTTCCATCCATATTTTTGCCTAGAACATTCTAAATGCGCGGGGTCGTCCAGATTTTCGTAAGTGGTGCGAGTTGCAACAGTAAAACATTCTCTAGCTAGTTCTGTGCGTCTTCGTCGTCTCGGTTCTTTGTTAGTCTATACCAAACTGTAATCGACAAAAAAAGCTGCTGCTTGAAGCTCTGTACTTTTTTCACCTATTACGTTTAAGCTGATTACATTTTTTGTGATTATATTTTTATTACGTTTCTAGAGCCTCGCACGCTAACTACCGAGTGTGCGATGCAAAATTAAAATGAGATACCCAGAAACCTGTTGCAGGTGCCCTGAAGTCGCTGACGCAAATTTTGAGGAATGTATTTGGAAAAGTATTTGGAGGAGACCAAATACATTTGGTTGTATTTGCATCTTGTACTTAAGTGCTTTTTTTGGAAATGCAATTAGATTTGTAATTAAATACATTTTTTACGAAGTATTTTGTATTTGTATTTCGATACAAATTTGCATGTATTTTGCCCATCCCTGATCTGAATGAATAGAATGCCCCAAAAAGTACACAAGGGCAAGGATAGCGCTTTCTGCGCGTTTCCTACTGTGGTGGTGTCCTTTTCTGCGCTATTTCGTGTAGTTTGTTGAAAGAATGATCTCGCTTTACTCAAAATTACAAAATATAAAATCCTAAACAATTTTTATACGCCTCTATTCTACACTATCAACCTCAAATAAATTGAGTTGAAATATCCAATTGAAACCTCCTTCTTTTTTTCTCTTTTTGTTAACGCCAAAAAAATGTCATTTTGGGCCACTGGAACAATTTATAAAAAGAATTAAGACACGAGGAAACTCTTTTTTTATGCTACTGGTTTTACTTAGAACGATTACACTATAGTTTCTGGAACGCGCCTCTCCAATTGGTGTGTTTAGAGCAGGGTGCAAGATAGAAAGGTGGGGAAACGGCCCATAAAAGCCTACTGCAGCGCCGTGACCGGATTGTGTACTCGTCTGCTTGCGGGTACCCCCGACTTGCGACAGATGGCGCTGCGGCAAGAGAAAAAAAATCGGAATCGGATTTGCGTGGAACTCTATGGGAGGGTGCGCAAAATAAACCGAGAGCACGAAAGTCCTCCATTAAAAATTTACGACAAACCATCTCCGTCAGTTTAGCCGGTCGCGATCGGTCGCTTACCCGGAGCGAGAGTTCGTGGTGCTCCACATAGATGGCGCCACAGAAGAAGAGAAACCCCAGGGGGACACAATGCGGTCGCTCATTTGGCTCTCGTTTCCCCACCTGTCTATCTTACACCCTGGTTTAGAGCGTCCTAAAAACTGGTCCCTCAATTTCCGCCTGATGACGTCATAAAAGTGTCATGCTTTCGCCGGTCGCGATCCTGGCGGTGTCCTGGCAGTTGTGGTGTATGTGGTAGGCGCTTAGTCTGCTGCAGGTCGCTCTCTAGTGCGGAAGTCCACGGAAGCCTCAGCAGCCGGAAGTTGGGACGCCGCGACCCTAGCGACGCTCGCGATCGCTCGTGCTTTTCGCCAGCACTTCTACTACTAACGGAGAGGATCGCGGCATCCGACGGCAGCACACTCCGGCTTTTGTGACGTCATTTGGAGATACTTTGGGACCACTTTCGGTATATGGGCTGGATAAGACGCTAAGCACACCAGTCGGAGTTGAGCTGCAGGCACCATAGCTCTAGCTATAGTGCCTGCACTCTAAAAAAAAAAAAAAAAGATGCCGACCACTGACAATGTGCTTGGTTCCATTCTGCAAGGCACAGTCGGCTATAACACATCTGAACATGTCTAAATCCATATGGAGCATGATAATCAAAAAGCTTTCCAAGAAAAAAAAATCTGCCTTTATGTTTGAGATTTCGTAAAGAAATCACATTTCCGGCTTTTACCCTTATATGCTTGTTTTCTTGTGTCAGACAACAATACTAAAGTTAACACAGTTTAAACCCAATATCGTTGCATTGCGCTTTGAGTCCTTACAAAAATGTTCCGGTGCTCTAATACACAGTAACACGTACGAGGGGTAACCTCGAGAAAGTCGCCGATTACCTTAATATGTTTGTGAATGATGGATGGTATTCTCTCCGCAAACGACACCACATAATAAAAAAAAAGAAGTCCAGAATATTTACGGCCGCCATTCAGGAAAGAGATGTAGTAAGAAAAAGAACCTCCTTGCGTTATTTGCGAGGAATGACGTAGATACAAGCCAAGCATGTGCTGTGGGGTGTATACCGAAAACGCTTAGGCTGTGATACTGTGATATTTGGATACGTCAAATTCGATCGTCTTGGCAGTAATAAAGGAAGCGAATGTCACGGTCTTTAACAGCGAGTAACCTTGCGCTACCGTTTTGTAAAGACAATACCCGTAAAAGCAAAGGCCTCCACTCCGAACAGACAAAATTTGCTAAACCATTTTCGCACTTTCAGCACGGACCGCTTAGAATGATTGCGTGATATCCATAACCCACGAAACAGCAAAATCAAATTGTTGTGTGTATGCATGTCTATACAGCCGGAAGTTAGTCTGCCTCTGTGGGCGTCTGGTGTCTCAGTTGTGGATGAGCAATTTAGTCATAGCGGTATAACCGCTCGCATGGGGTCTTTAACGTGCACTACGCAGTCTTGATACACGACCGCACACAGGTACGATGCCCATCCAGATTGAAACGGGCAGGAGTCGGGATTGAACTCAGGATCCCTGTGTTCTGCAGCGCGAGCTTTCGCTCCACGTACTCCGAGCTGGTGTGCACCAGTCCAATCGTTCACCAATCTCCCCCTGCCCTTTAAAACTGGTAATATAACATCTTGTGACATTGTTTGTTATTCTCTTCATTGTGAGCATGCGTCAATATCCACCACCAGCACCATATCCTGCAATGGCCATAAGTGAATGTGTGTGTTGTGCTTCCTATGGATCGTACCGACGAGTACGTGTATAGAAAGTCATGAACACGAGCTGTTAGGAAACCAAACTTCTCGTCTGGCGTAAACAGTCGTTTTGACGGCGCCAAGGGAATCTGGCGAACGGTTGCTCTCAGCGCGCGCTTAACCACAGAACACAGATATGGTCGCCAGTGAATACACTTTATAGATGTTTGACTTTTATGTTTAATGGTAGGCGTTCTCTCTGAAAATTTCTGAAGTGACCGTACGCAGTTAGAGAAACAATGCTTGTAATTTATTTACATATATTTGTCACCTCCGTAAGAATTTTACTGCCTCTAAAGTTACACAAATTAATATTATTACGACCAATAAAATATATTTGATAGACATCATTCAATATACAGCACTAGATAGATTCAAAGGCGTTCTAGGGTGACATCTTCGTCTGTATGACTGTCAATAAATGCAAGATGACTTCTAATTCCTACCCTGAGAAACGTTAATTTAATTCGATTTGTTGGCATAATCGTTTGACATGTTTCAGAGTTCTCGAATGCGCTAAAACGTTATAAAGACGGTGCCCTTTTCGCCCACTATGTGCGAAAAAGTAAAAGCGATAGCTCTCTAGTACGTTCGCGCATTGCGGGCATCATCGTGTGGCACGTGCGGCCTCTCGTTGGTGGTCAGTGTGGGCGCGACTCCGGTCGCGAACTGCCGAAGCCAGCCGTTTCCTCCGCGCTCACTCCTCGTACGGAGTGCGGCTTTGGCGCGGCGGCGCCATTAGGAAGAGTCTGCTGCAAAGACGACGCGAGCGCAGCTATTCCCGGTGTTGTTGAGCGAGAAGAGGTAATGTTTACCTTCAGTGATGAGCGGAGAGGGGGAAGTATGCAGATTAACGAGGCGATGCTCTGCGGGGAAGGCTGGTACAAGCCGACGAGTTTTGCCAGAACATATTTCACGTTTCGAGTTGCGTTCCAGAAGTTCAGGTGTCCAGTGAAATCAAACGCGGTGGAAGTTTCTAAAACCCTACAATATTACGCGTAGCAGCTGGATGCTGCCAAACTGGCATTCCGTATACCGCGAGTAATGTTTGAAAACACATGTTTTGGAGTTATCGTTGGCAGACGACGGGGGAAGACGCTCTGCTAATGCTTTCTCGTCGTCGCACCGTTATTGGCGGTCCGTCGGGGCTCTCTTCCGTTCCCCCTTCGCGTGGCGTGGCCAACGACAACACCTGTCTTCTATCTCCTCGTGGTACGAGGGGAGAGAAAGGCTTTTCCATCTCCACTGCGACGACAGGCACCAACAAACGCTGACACAGAAATCCCTGCAAAGTTTCACTGGTTTTTATTTTTACATTGTTTAAAGGGCAACTCCGGCCAAAACTCAAAATGAAATAAATTACTGGTATCGCTGTAGTGACATAAAATACGACTCCAGCCAAAATATTACGTCCGTAGTACGCCGCATTCTCAACTAATGCCGATAACAAAAATGCGACCCGCCGCGAGCCGCTGCTCCTTAGCGGGCGGCCAGCGGGTTGCCGATCGCTAAAGCAACATTGGGCCGTGACGTCCGTATCGTTCTCTTTTTTTTCCTCCGGTCCGGGCGTTGCGCGGAGTGCGCTTCTTTGGGCCGCTACCACCGCTACTTCCGCATGTGATTGGTGTGTTTAGCCGTTGCTTTTATCTGTAGCCCATGTAGCTTCGGTATAGCTTTCTGTTTATTTGCTTTTGAGGACTTTAAGACTCGTTTTAGCGAGCAACTCGGTGCGCCCAAGACTGCCCAGCTATTCCTCGAAAGATGCCGAGTGCAACTTGTAGCGCTGTGGGCTGCTCAAACAACCCGCTGCGCAACACGGAGGTGCTTTTTCACAAGTTTCCGACGGACCGGAAATTGGAGAAGGTGTGGGTGAACGCTGTTCGACGTGTGGACTTTAGACTTCGGCTTTTACGCGCCCGATGAAAAAATAACGAAAAAACAGACGTGTGCAACCCAGCACACGTGTGTTCGGGCGCCGCGGCCCGCGCCGGAGAGCCTCATACCATCGTGTCTGGGGCTGACCCGCAGCGCGAAAGCGAGAGGGCCTCCAGTACTGTACGTCACTGGCAGCGCGGCGTAAAGCAACGCCGCTCCATCCACGGAGCCCAGATGGCAATTTAGGCCTAGCGACGAGTGCGGAAGACCGCACACACGGCGACAGCCGCCGAGTACGGCACCGAACGAGTTCACTTGTTGCTCAGTCGCTATCTTTTGATTATAGACCTTTTTCACAAGGGCGCCGCCATCTTGATATATCGTTACTTCCAGTATGGGCGAAAACATTGTTTTGCCGTCGCCACACCAATAGAAGGCATCTAGGAGATAAGCGTAACCGTCATCCATTCTCGTTTTGTCTTTCCTCTATTTTTTTACTATTTGCAGGTTGAAACGTTTTAATATTTTTTCGTCGCCCATACCGGATATGCCGACTTGGTGGTCGGGGGTGAGAGTAGGCGGAAAAGGTCTATACAAGCGACGAGTACGGCATAGCGCACGCACGGCGGTGACCGCCGAGTACGGCACCGTACGAGCTCACGGGTTTTCCAGTAGCTAACTTTTGCTACATATGCTCGATAACTACCACGTCTACAGAATTAAAACAATCAGCTTACCTCCTATCTTTAGACAGCTAGCGCAAAAGAGGTAGGTGCCACTCGGCCTGCGTACTCGTTGAGCGAGAACGATCCTGACGTCACGTTCACATAGCGCCTGATTTCCAGTGTTGCCGGGGCCTCCAGCGGCTAGTTTCGGTTTTTGTTGGCCGCGCCCCAAACAAAACTTTGAGGCGTCGATATCTTTAAAACTACGCACAATAACGAGAACAAAATTACACCTTGCAATTCAGGGACGCTGACTGCACTGAAAACAGTCATAATCCCAAAATCGAGAGTATGGACCGGAGTTGCCCTTTAAGCTGAATATAAATTGAAGAGTTCGTTGAACTTATCTAAACTCCTCGAA